GCGAGGGTATGATATATTTATTAATTTCTCCTATGAATCTTATTATTCTACATTTTATTTGACTAATTATATTTATAATTTTGATAGAAAATATATTTTTAGTTTTTAAGGAAAAGTTTTACTTTTTTGTTTTATTTTACCATCTTTGATAATTAAAATTTATTTGTATTTATTATAATTTTTTAATTATAAAATTACATGCATTATAAGTTTTTTTTTAGAAATTTGGATCATGACTATTGAATACTATATTTTTTAATTATCACTAGATGACTACTTTTTGATGTTTAGCAAGATTCTCATCTCTATTTTATTACTGGTTTGCTTTATTTTATCGCATGTATGCTTAGATTTGGAAAAAGTAATTTTCATGTGTTTTATGTCATCTCTGTTTTATTGCTCATTTTCTCTATTTTTTGTAATATTTCTAAAACATGTAATCCATTTTATGAGGGAATGAGCAAGTAATATAATTAGTTCAAATGGTAAAATAAAAGTAAAATTTTAAAAGCATAATATGCTTATTGAAAGGAAAACATACTTCCAAAATTATCTATGTAGGTTCTAATCGGTTTCGGATATAATCGGTTTCGGATCTAATCGATTTCGGGTTTATTGGTTTCGGGTATTATCGGTTTCGGATCTAATCGGTTTCGGGTTTAATCGGTTCGGATATTATCGGTTTCGGATCTAATCGGTTTCGGATTTAAATCGGATATGAATTATTTAGTTCGGTTTCGGTTCGATTCGGATCATTTTGGGTTTTCGGTTATAGATCGGATCTTCATTTTTCGGGTCATTTCGGTTTCAGATATTTCGGTTCGGGTAATCGGTTCCGGTTCTGTTTTGCCAGCTCTAAACGTACATAATCTCATGACTTTTAAATTTATTTTATTTACAAATTGTTACAAAAATAAATATTATAATTTACATATTAAAAAACTATATCAAAAATTCTATAAAAACAAATGATGACAACAATATTTTATCTTATCAGATTATTAATATGAACATACAAGAAAATAAAAATTATCAAGGGACCACAATAGTTGATGGTGTAAATATAGCTGGGTAGGTTGACCGAGTCTGACCTGGACACAGACTCTACTCGCAGTAAATACACAAAATCAGAACACAAAGTATGACCTAGATTGGTAAAACTCCTTAGTCCGAATTATATTTTTTACTCTGTCTCAAGAGTTACTTTCACTACGTCAAAAACAGAGGCTGACAACTGTTTATTTTAGTAGTCTATAATTGATGTTTTCAGTAGTCTTCCGAGCAGCTGTCTGATGGGATGTGAGACCTCGGTTTAGAACAATTGTGCAAATCAAAATCTGACAACGGTGTTTTGTAGCTTAACACAACTTTGAACATTTGTTGTCTGCTCGCGATTGAGTCTACGATTTTGGATATACTTAGACAACAGTTTTATTGTGTTGTATATAGAAGTTCATACAACTACTTAAAAACAACTGTCTTAATTAATTGTATATAGACTATTACGACAATGGTTTATTGTAGTTGGAATTGATGCGGTTACACTATGTTTTCCAGGTGTAGTCTAATGTTCTATTAGACAGCTGCTCGGAAGACTACTATAAGTAATTCCATCAAACCTCTGCTACCTACTGTTGTATGTACAACGTTGAGACTATTTCTTTGGTCTTACCTTAAACAACTTTTTTTGGTTGTATGCCGTCTATTAACACTCCAGTTTATGTTCGTTGTCCTTTAAACATTGACACTATACTTCCAAACAGTAGTTGAATCTGCTACCAGACAGCTGCTCGGAAGACCACTATAAGTATTTGCTTCAAACAACTATTACGTTGGGTTGTATGCATAATGTTCGGACTATTATTTTGGTCTTATCTTAAACAACTATTTGTTTTAGTTGTACAACATCTATAAACAATACTGTTTTGGATCGTTGTCGTACCACCCATTCAAACAATATTTTGGGACAGTAGTCGAAATTGTTATCAGACAGCTGCTTGTAACACCACTGAAAACATTAGCATTAGAGAACTGTTCTTTTTTGTGGTATATCTAAAACTAAGAATACGATTATGTTTCATTTCACACAATTGCAAGTACCAGATGTCTAGCAGGTATTACCTCTACTAGTTATATAGTTGTCCGTAAAATTTTTGTAATATCAAATTAACAGTAGTAAGGCTGCTTGTCAGTCAAGCGTTTATTTGTGTTGCCTATCATAATCAGATGCTTCTGTTTTATGGCGTTGTGTTGCAGATATTCACACTATTGACATTTTGTGTTGTGCCTCAACCATTCGGAGTACTGTATTTGGTGGATAACCATGTTTTTTGCATTCTAATACAGTGGTCGTTCAATAATTCATACAACAGAAAGACTGATCAAGAAAAGAAATATAAATTTCCAATACATCATTCAACAATCTAACACAATAAAACATACAACCAAAGTCCAGGGGTAGAACCATTCAAATGACATTATGACTCATAAAATACTTCGCAAATTCAACCTTTGTTTGATTGATGTCATCCTCGGTGTATTCCAGATTTCCCCGACGCGCCCACTGAAAATCGTAGGAAAAAACCAAATATCTAATAAGCCAATCATAGAAGTGATGAAGTAAATATAGGATGCAACACATAAGAACTGATTTGTATGAAGGCATTATCCGTGATGACTAACACTAAATAACTGACCAATAATTAATACTCAAACCTTCACTTGCATTGAGTAGTACACAATATTAGTGAACTAGAAGAGGCTCTACTTAATGTTAATTAAAGTCTCTCCTGATTAAAAACACCAGAACTGTACACAAAATTAAAAAAACTCTGTACAGCGCTATCTTAAATTAGCTTCAAATTAAATCTGTGTACAGAGCATGTAGCAGAACTTGCATTTATCCAGAAATTCAAACTAAAAAACACACTCCTAAATGATACACGGATGCAAAGAAGCAAGAGAACACATAAAAGTGACATGCAATTCAAACTTTGCAATTCAGTAATGGTATGATAACATACAATACAGTAAATATCCCCAGAATAAGAGAAAGGCACAATTAGTGTGAACCATCCGAAACAAGAAAAACTACATTTAAGACAACAATATTACCTTTGAAGCAAATTGAACATCCTTATCCTGACAGATCTCTTTCATGTATCGCATTACAAACAAGCCACAGTCTACACTCCCTTTTTGCATCGGGATGCCCTAAAAAACAAAAATATAAAGTACGTTATACAACACTTCTCTTTCAACCTGCATTACATACCAAATAATAAGAATCATATAATACCGCCATGTTCTCCCATGACACTTTCTTCTTCAACATAGGTGTGTTCATGGTACTCTTGTACAAAACTATAGCACTATAAGGAAACCAAAAAAGATAAATAGAGAAATGTTAAAATCAAGAGTGATAGCAAATACCAAAGATTTTTGTTCATTGAGTCACTACTTACTTATCAACCACTTCAGTCCACTCCTGACTATCTATACGCCGTTTAAGGGGGTCCATGTAGTACACTACCTCTTCATTAGGTTTGACAACAGTCAAAGCCCAATGATTCCTACAAATAAAAACATATATGAATTACGACATTCTCACGAACTTAAAGAAATTCGCATTTACATAAGTGTATTAACAAAGCATTACAA